AACGGTTAATTATTAAAAGCTAACTGTAAATTTGTACAGTTCCCTGATGCTGCATTCTAAGTGAAACACCAAAGCATTTGAAGGCAGCCCTTTGCCAAAAAGAGAAAAACACAATACAAATGCTACAAAATCTTGTCCCTATTCAAGTGCATGGCAGTGTATATGAGCCCTAACCACTGGTACTGCTACGTTTTTTTCAATAGTGCAACTTTTAATGACTTATATTCCTTTTTTGGTGATTATTGTCAAAACATATTTATACTTTTTAAAAAGGTAATTGAATTACCTTTAATTTCGTATCAAAACATGCAAACGTTTCACAAACAATAATGCAAAAAATCAATTTAAACAAGATAGAACGCTACAGTCGAGCAAGCCCGACAGTAAAATAGCCTGTACTCTCCACAAAAAAAGAAAAATTAAAAAAAAAAAAATTAAAAAAAAATTAAATTATTAAAAACAAGAAAGGAATGCTAAAGTCGAGCAGGCTCAACTCTTAAATACCCTGTACCACCCCACAAAAAAGTAATTAAATTAATTAACTAAATTAATTTAATTAATTAACTAAATATTAACTAATTAACTAAATTAAATATTCCATGCATGCATACATACATTTACATTTACATCAGAATCGTGCCTTATGCGTGTTTGTGTACTTGTACATATGTATGTATGTGTGCATCGGACCTGGTTATATGGCTATAACTTTCTTTCTGATCAACCTATCATAATGCAACTTGGTATACGGATATATAATTACTAACTGGATGTGTCTACCAAATTTTAGTTTAGTTTAGTTTCCAAGAATTACGGGAGTTATAGAAAATCGGTAATAGGGGGGGGAGTGGGGGGTGGATCAGAAAAAATGAACAAACTCGTCCTTTCTCGGTCTCAGGAGAATCTGTATACCAAGTTTGGTTATTCTAGCTCTTATACTTTCGGAGATCCTTGCGTTCATACAGACAGACAGACAGACGGACAGACAGACGGACAGACGGACATGGCTATATCGACTCGGCTTGTTATGCTGATCAAGAATATATATACTTTGTGGGGTCTACCAAGCCTCCTTCTGTGTGTTCCATGTGCACTCGCACAAAACTAATATACCCATGTACCCTTTGGGTACAGGGTATACAAATTAATGAATTAATTAATTTAATTAAATTAGAATATATGTTTATGTTTAGTTTTAACAGCATACATTTACATCACGTACCTATGCGTGTTTATATGCGTGTATGTATGCAGCACAAAGTTGAACCAAAGCAGCAACAACAACAACAGCTGCGGGCAGCGCTGCCGACAGAGGCAGCGCATGAGCAGCGATTTTACTTATGGCTATAACTATCTTCAGAATTGACCTATCATGATGAAATTTGGCACACGGACACATTAGTACTAACTGGATGTACCTACCAAAATTGATTTCAAAATTCCGAGAATTACGGAAGTTATAAGAAAAAACACGAATTGCGGGGGAGTGGGGGGGTGCATCGAAAAAAAACTCAAAGTCGTACTTTCTCGGTCTTAGGAGAATATGGAAACCAAGTTTGGTTATTCTAGCTCTTATACTTTCTGAGATCCTTGCGTTCATACGGACAGACGGACGGACAAGGCTATATCGACTCGGCTTCTCATCCTGATCAAGAATATATATACTTTGTGGGGTCTGCCACGCCTCCTTCTGTGTGTTACATACATGCGCACAAAACTAGTATAGCCTTTCACCCTTTGGGTACAGGCTATAATAAGTCAACTTTCATAATACACGGAATATTTTTGACCATTATTAATTGGTACGGCAACAATATTTACTAATTAATCCTGAGTATCATCTTTTTATAGCCTGTACCCAAAGGGTGAAAGGCTATACTAGTTTTGTGCGCATGTATGTAACACACAGAAGGAGGCGTGGCAGACCCCACAAAGTATATATATTCTTGATCAGGATGAGAAGCCGAGTGGATATAGCCTTGTCCATCCGTCCGTCTGTCCGTATGAACGCAAGGATCTCAGAAAGTATAAGAGCTAGAAAAACCGAACTTGGTTTCCATATTCTCCTAAGACCGAGAAAGTACGAGTTTGAGTTTTTTTTCGATGCACCCCCCCACTCCCCCGCAATTCGTGTTTTTTATTATAACTACCGTAATTTTCAAAATTTGAAATCAATTTTGGTAGGTACATCCAGTTAGTACTAATGTGTCCGTGTGCCAAATTTCATCATGATAGGTCAATTCTGAAGAAAGTTATAGCCATAAGCAAAATCGCTGCTCATGCGCTGCCTGCAGCTCTGCCAGCAGCGCTCTCCGCAGCTGTTGTTGTTGTTGCTGCTTTGGTTCAACTTTGTGCTGCATACATACACGCATATAAACACGCATAGGTACGTGATGTAAATTTATGCTGTTAAAACTGAACATAAACATGTATTCTAATTTAATTTAATTAATTCATTCATTCATTTTTTATAATAATTTTTTTTTTTTTATACTCTGTACATGAAATGTACAAGAGTATATTAGGTTTGCGGGAGCTGAAAAATGTAACAGGCGGAAGGAGGCGTGGCAGACCCCACAAAGTATATATATTCTTGATCAGCATGACGAGACGAGTCGATCTAGCCCTGTCTGTCTGTCTGTCCGTCTGTCCGTCCGTATGAACACCTGGATCTCAGAGACTATAAGAGATAGAGACACCAAATTTTGCACAAAGATGCGTTATGTGTGTATTCTATACGAGTTTGTTTTATTTTTTTGATTTTCCCCCCCACTTCCCCCCTATGGGGGTTTTCCCGATTTTCCATTCGTATAATCGCCTATATCTCGGAGACTATAAGACCTAGGAACACCAAATTTTAGTCCCAGATGCCTTATGTGAATACGCAGAAAATGTATATTTTGGAATTCCCCTCCCTGCCCCCTCTACCCCGCAAATCGTAACTCCCGTAATTCTTGGAATTTCGAACTAAAATTTTGGAAATACCCCCAGTTGGTTATTATGTGTCCGTATGCCAAATTTCATTATGATAGACCGATTTAACAAGAAGTTATAGCCATAAATATATTTGCTGATGCAGCGCTGCTGCAGCGCTGCTCAAGCGCTGCCCGCGGCTGTTGTTGATGTTGCTGTTTGGTTGACTGCGAAAATGCTTACACAGACACGAATTGATACGCATAGGCATACATACACTCACACAGACGCAATTGCTATGTAAATGTGCAATTATACGTGAGTTCGAATACCGAGAGAGGTAAAATCGATCCAATTTTTTTTTATTTTTTTTTTTTTTTATTTTCTATAATTATTGTAAACATATGTACAGAGTATTTCAAAGTCGGGACACCCGACTTTAGCTTTTTTACTTGTTTTTTAATTTTTCCTTTTTGTGAAGAGTACAGGTTATTTTACTGTCGGGCTTGCTCGACTGTAGCGTTCTCTCTTGTTCTGCATGTACAGCTCCATAAATGAAGTAAAGTTTCCCACACCCTTGGCTAACATGCACCCTCACCATTGTGATTGCTAGAAACTTGGTTGAACGCCTAAGACAGCTGTTGTGACATGTGTCCGTATGCTTTTGTACTACTCGTTTTTGAGCATCACCGACAAACACATAAAATATGGATTCCTCGCTAAAAATAATAGAGTTCCTCTGACTTTGTATCCAGTTCTATCTTCCTCTTGTCCATAGCAGTCGTTTTTTTATTGGCAAAGCTGTGAGCAAACGTTTTTCTTTGGCCTAAAGACATCGAAATTATTTGTTATGTTCAACAGGAGCTGCAATCATATCTTAAAAAAGCCATATTAAGTTCGTTTCATTTTCTGTCGCGTCCATTCATGTTTTACTGTTTTCCCAATATTTTCATTTTGCCGCTATATCTCTCACAGTACTTCGCTGATTTTGAATTATAGTCGACAAACTTATTTTTGTCACGTGTAGTCATTTTCGAGACTCGTCCTCCGTTTGCTGTATTACTATGAATATTGTCAATCTTTCTATACCTTTGCACTTCACTTCGTACCGGAGACTTAAAAGCATACGATTTTTTCTTACTTTGCCATAGATGTTGCCCAAATTCAATTTTTCTATATTTGACCTTACTCACAAACTGGCTTACCTCGTGCCATCGCGCTCAAAAATTAGAAAACTTACAACTCAAAGGCATATGTTTTTTATATAAGGTTAGTTTTCCAATTTATGTTCAAATTACCCTTTTTTATGGCCCTATTTAAAACAAGAAAGGAATGCTAAAGTCGAGCAGGCTCAACTCTTAAATGCCCTGTACCACCCCACAAAAAAGAAATTAAATTAAATTAACAAAAAAAGAAATTAAATTAATTAATTAATTAAATTTAATTAATTTAATGAAATTAATTTAATTAATTAACTAAATTAAATATAAAATATTCCATACATGCATACATACATTTACATCAGAATCTGTTCTATTCGTGTTGGTGTACTTGTACATATGTATGTATGTGTGCATTGGGCCTGGTTATATGGCTATAACTTTCTTTCTGATCAACCTATCATAATGAAACTTGGTATACGGATATATAATCACTAACTGGATAACAGGTATTAAAAATAATATTGCCGTACCAATTAATAATAGTGAAAAATATTTCGTATATTATGAAGTTGTCTTTAAATTTAAATTGTTTTTTTGCATTCTTGTTATGTGGAACGTGTGCATGTTTTGATATGAAATTAAAGGTAATTCAATGGCCTTTTCAAAAAGTATAAATACAAGAAAATACAAAGTCGACCACACGTTCATTATTATACCGCACTCTTTCGCCTTAGAATTGAACTGAGTTGGATTTGAAGTTTTTTCATTGATCATAAGCATAAAAATTTTTTTTTAAATGCATCGTGCATTATTTAATCAACATTTTAATTTTTTTTTTATAAATCCCATTGGGAGCATATTAATGAAATGGTAGATAAGGTGGCACAGTTTAGACATTGACTTATAATCTTATATCATTTTCAGATGAGCAACCAATACAATCTTCGCGTACATCTTGAGACGCACCAGAATGTCAGGCAAGTGTGACTGCTGCAAACTAAAAGCTCTTCTTGTCGAATTAACACTTATGTATGTATATATTTTATTTAAAGATATGCTTGCAATGTGTGCTCCCACGTGTCGCGTAGCAAAGATGCCCTTCGTAAACATGTTTCGTATCGTCATCCTGGGGCGCCTTCACCATGTGAAAATGAAGCTCGTCGCAAGCGGATCACAAAGTTATCAACTGCAGCAGTAGCTCCAATTCCTACAGCCACAAGCGTCGACTTAGGAAGTGTGGCTGGGGAAGCTGGTTTTACAAGCACCAGCAATGAGGGAATTTCTACAATGGCTAAAAATCCGTATATGTTTCTTCCCAACCAGTTTCAACTGGCAGCCGCAGCAGCTGCAGTGGCCGTGGCCGACTCGAACACAACTCCTTCTATGGACTTGCCCATTTCAATAAAATGTGAAGCGGCGACAACCGCTTTCTCTAAGGAACAGGCTGGCGAGGCGGACGCATCCATTGCTTAGACGAATACCACCACAAGGACTTGTTTCTATATAATTATTATTTTTTTAAAAGTCTAAGACACACTTATCCCTCCGTGTACCGATCCTAACCTCTTAGTCCCGGCTGTGATACTTAGAGCAATTAATCGATTTCTCCACATACATATAGAAGTGTTTAATTTTTATAATTTTTTATAAAAGACCGCAAAAACGTGTAAGTGTAGTCTTAAAAAAAAAACAAACATCAAAGATCCTTTACAGTCCGCAGCTTCTTTCTTAAGTTTTCATTATGTTATGTACGTAAATGCATATATCGTCCACAAGCAAACATCTTTTTGAACTTACATACTATATATACTGTGCTGAAAACTGCGAGGCTTCAAATGAACTAAAATCCAGCAAAAACATAGAATGCTTATACCTTACACATTCTAGTAATTTAAGAAAGTTTTATAAATATTCTATGTCTTTTATACACAAAAAAAAACCCAATGACACAAGCATGCACACAAAAAGACAAGGCCAAAGCCTATAAAAATAATTTAAACATTTTAAATTAAAAATTTTAATAAATCTTAAGTTCAATAATGGGGTCTGGCACAGCTCAACGAGCTAACCTTAATCCCAAAATTAAAATCCGTTCCTGAGTAGGCACTCGGTTCGCGTTTATCTGTTGTTGATTTTTATAATCGTAAAGGTGCAAAGTGAACAAGAGAGAACACTACAGTCGAGCAAGCCCGACAGTAAAATACCCTGTACCCAATCCCACAAAAAAGAAAAACATTTTTTTTAATTCATTGTAAAGAAAATTAAATTAATTAAATTAAATAGAAATGGAGACATGTTTATGTACAGTTTCAATAGCATACATTTAAATCAGAATCGTGTCTCGGCGTGTTTATATGTGTGTATGTATGCATTACAGAAATAAGTCAAAGCAGCAACAACAATAACAGCTGCGGGCAGGGCTTGGGCGGAGATTCTATTTATGGCTATAACATTCTTCATAATTGTTGAATTGATGAATCTTGGCATACGGACATGTAATCATTAACGGAATGTAATTGCCAAATTTTAATTCCAAGAATAACGGGAGTTACGAAAAATCACTAATAGCAGGAGAGTGGAGGGGTATATCAAAATTAAAAAAAAAACAAGATAGAACGCTACAGTCGAGCAAGCCCGACAGTAAAATAGTACTCTCCACAAAAAAGAAAAATTAAAAAAAAAAAAAAATTAAATTATTAAAAAAAATGAATGAATTAATTAATTAATTAAATTAAATTAGAATACATGTTTATGTTCAGTTTTAACAGCATACATTTACATCACGTACCTATGCGTGCTTATATGCGTGTATGTATGCAGCACAAAGTTGAACCAAAGCAGCAACAACAACAGCTGCGGGCAGCGCTGCTGGCAGAGCTGCAGGCAGCGCATGAGCAGCGATTTTACTTATGGCTATAACTTTCTTCAGAATTGACCTATCATGATGAAATTTGGCATACGGACACATTAGTACTAACTGGATGTACCTACCAAAATTGATTTCAAAATTCCGAGAATTACGGAAGTTATAAGAAAAAACACGAATTGCGGGGGAGTGGGGGGGTGCATCGAAAAAAAACTCAAACTCGTACTTTCTCGGTCTTAGGAGAATATGGAAACCAAGTTTGGTTATTCTAGCTCTTATACTTTCTGAGATCCTTGCGATCATACGGACAGACGGACGGACGGACAAGGCTATATCGACTCGGCTTCTCATCCTGATCAAGAATATATATACTTTGTGGGGTCTGCCACGCCTCCTTCTGTGTGTTACATACATGCGCACAAAACTAGTATAGCCTTTCACCCTTTGGGTACAGGCTATAAAAAAACTTGACCTGCCTAGGGGTTAGGGAAACCAAGTTTGGTAATTCTAGCACTTCGCTCATACAGACAGACGGACATGGCTATATCGAATTGTCTTGTCATACTGATCAATCTCTATATACATATATAAAACAGTTTGTCCTGACTGACTGATTGGTGATCAACATACAGCCAAAACGGTAAAAGCTAGGAAGCTGAAATTTGGACTCAAGTATCCTTTTATAGTGCAGGTGCCCACTAAGAAGGGATTTCGGAAAATTCGAGCTCCAAAGGGGGAAAACCGACTCCAACGTTTGTATGAAATTTGTGGTGGAGCTTGAATTATTGGGGTTTTAATATTTATTCACCTTTTCAAATAAAAAGTTTGTGTTATAATGTTTGGAGACTGTAATCTACGTAACTAAATCTACAACTTTGCGTTCAAGGATTTTCAAAATATGCATTTTACAAATGCAGGCAGAACAAACAATACAAAATATCAAACAGTTGGGCGACAACTAAGTATACATACACACACACACACACATACAAGCAGCTGTTCGTGTAGTTGCGTGCAAACGCTTGAAATAGCCAAAGCAAAATTTGAGACACTAATGTATGAATGTAATTTTTTCTTTGTTTAGAACATTTGGCATTAGGGTTTTCATTAGTAACTTTATGCAACAACAACAAATTACAAAGAACGCAAATATCAAATAGTTGGGGACATCATATAGGCACACTCACACACAGAACAAGTAACAGTTCGTGTCTATGTGTGCGGTTCTCTACGTACGGTTGAAAATGTAAAGAGAAACATGCATGCATATGTACATACATATGTATGCCCGTGTGCGTACATATATAGCATGTATGTATGTACATTCGTATGTATGTATACATTGGACAATCAAGCACTGTTGTTTGATTGTAATAAATAATTTTCTATGGTTTTAAATCAAATTTTTAACAACAACTGCAAGTCATTGGCTCGCGCTTCTTCCTTCGTTTTGAACATTTATGCCTGTTAATTTCAAAGGCAAAACGCCAAAAGTTTATAGTTACCGTCGCTAGGCAACGACTGCGTTAGCAATAGTAAAGCAGAAACCGAAAGCGGACCTACGCATATTCTGCATACATACATACATATGTAGGTTTGTATATGATTTGTTCTAATTGATCTCAATAAATTAAAAGATGTTATTATTTAAATTTTCTGTTAATTGCATTCAAACTTCGATGGAATTATTGATTGTATCGACGGATTCAACTATCGATAGTTTTGATGCTCTAGCACATAGAGCATCCGACACATGCCCATCTCTAGCATTTCAGCTGATCGCATATTTACAGTGACTTACCGTTTTAGTGTCAGCTAACAACGCTACAAATGTATTCTGAACAAATCTAAGAGTCATTTACCGTTAAACCTATTTTGTGAGTGTATTCATGCGATTTACAAAAGCAGAAACACACCTTTTACATTCGCAACAATCATATTTGGAATTGAAGACACAAATTAGTGTTGAATTAAAAAAATTAATACATACTTATATATATATATGTACTTGTATGTATGTATGTATATAGGCGGATAACGCCTGCATGAAAAATTTAAATGTATGTACATATCAGCGTTGCCGAATGCTCCAATTTTGGCGCGACGTCCCGATTTATAAATCAAAATTAAATGTTCCGCGTCGGACTTTTCGGGGATAACTCGACCGTGCGTACAACGTGCTGAGGAAGCACATAGTTAAGTCAGGACTGGCATTCGCCCGGTGCGTAACGAAGATATGTACATACTTGTATGTATATATGTACGTATAACCATACATAGTACTTATTGTACTATATTTGCTATTTGGAAAATGAACTCTTTAAAAAACTTTAGAGAGCGTCGAAAGAAGAATATCATATAGTCAATAAACTTTTAATTATAAGCACATTTTACTTAGCCCAGCAAAGACGGGCAAGACCTGCTAGTACCTTAATATAATTTCAAGGCAATCAAGTGCAAATATTTTATCTAAATGACCTGGAAGAGTGTCGAGAGGGAATTTTCTAAGCATTTGGAAATAATTTTAATTCTCGCTTTGGTATTAAATAAATGATGTTCCTCAAGACTTCTCCAGAACCTATAGTTAAGGCCTGAGAATAAAATTGATTAAATTGCAATCAAAACGCAATGGCTTCATATTTTAAACAAGAAATGAATGCTAAAGTCGAGCGAGCTCAACCCTTAAATACCCTGTACCACCCAACAAAAAAAAAAAAAATTATAATTTATAATTAAATTAAAATTAAATATAAAATATTTAACACATGCATACACAATTGTACAATTATATACAATTTCAACAGCATACATTTAAATTTGTTGTATGCAGTATAGAAATAAATCAAAGCAGCAACAACAACAACAGCTGCGGGCAGAGCTTTGGAAGAGATTATATTTATGGCTATTACTTTCTTCGTAATTGACCTATCAGGGGAACCTGGATACCAAGTATGGTCATTCTAGCTCTTGTACCTTCAGAGATCATTGCGCTCATACAGACGGACGGACATGGCGTTATCGATTCGGCTTGTCACCCAGATCAAAAATATACATACATATATACTTTGTAGGGTCTGCCACGCCTCCTTCTGTGTGTTACATACATTCGCACAAAACTAGTATAAAGCCCGATAAGAACCACTGACATGGCCCCACTGCCCAGGATGAGCTTGCTGCGGCTGACCAACATGAACTACCAAGGTTCATAGGAACTAGCATAAGAGTTTATATATAAACAATTTTATTAGTTACATCCAGTTAGTCCTTATGTGTCCGGGTGCCAAGTTTCATCGAGGTCCAAAGTTTGTTTGAAAAATTTTTCAACCGATCGACTTAAAACTTAGTTTCTAAAATCAATTAAAGAATACAAACAAAACTGCATACTTACATTTTCGAAATTTGTGTTGGAGCTTGAATTATTGGGGTTTTAATATTTATTCACTATTTCAAATGAAAGAAAGTTTGTGTTATTAATTTAGTCCGATCGATTTCAAATTTGGGTAATGTAATCTACGTAACTAAATCTACAACTTTGCATTCAAGGATTTTCAAAATATGCATTTTACAAAAGCAGGCAGAACAAACAATACAAAATATCAAACAGTTGGGGACAACTAAGTATACATACACACCCACACACATACAAACAGCTGTTCGTGTAGTTGCGTGCAAACGATTGAAATAGCCAAAGCAAAATGTGAGACACTAATGTGTGAATGTCCATACATACATATGTGCACATCTATGTATGTACATATGTATCTACATATGTATGCATGTACATTCGTCTTGCACTGGCAGAGCAAGAAATGTTAATTAATTGAAAATTATTAAACATTTTTAAACGTATTTTTTCTTTGTTTAGTGCATTTGGCATTAGGGTTTTCATTAATAACTTTATGCAGCAACAACAAATATCAAATAGTTGGGGACATCACATACACATACACACACTCACACACACAACAAGCAACAGTTCGTGTCTATGTGTGCGGTTCTCTACGTACGGTTGAAAAAGTAAAGAGAAACATACATATGTATGTATGTATGTATGTATATATGCCTGTGTATGAATATAGCATGTATGTACATTCGTATTAATGTATACATTGGGCAATCGAACACAGTTGTTTGATTGTAAAAAAAATAATGCTCTAAAAACGCTAGGCAACGACTGCGTTAGCGATAGTAAAGCAGAAACCGAATAATGGAGCTACGCATATTCTGCTTCGCATTGCGGGCAGATGTATGTATGTATACGATTTGTTCTTATTGATCTCAATAAATAATTCGATTTTATTATTTAAATATTCTGCTTATTGCATTCAAACATCGATATTTTGATGGTATCGGTGGCTTCAACTATCGAAAGTTTTACTCTAGCAAACTGAGATGAGAATTGTCAGTGGTTTTTGGTTTTGATCGTGGCTCATCGTTGCACGGCATTGACACGAGTGCCGTGTTTCATATTTCGAGTTTGTGCGTGACCGCATTGACTCAGTGATCAACGCACAGCCCAAACGGTAAAAGATGAAATTTGGACTCAAGTATCCTTTCATAGTATCCATCATAGTATAGGAGCACACTAAGAAAGGGGAAAACGAGCTTTAAACAAGATAGAACGCTACAGTCGAGCAAGCCCGACAGTAAAATAGCCTGTACTCTCCACAAAAAAGAAAAATTAAAAAAAAAAATTAAATTATTAAAAAAAATGAATGAATGAATTAATTAATTAAATTAAATGAGAATACATGTTTATGTTCAGTTTTAACAGCATACATTTACATCACGTACCTATGCGTGTTTATATGCGTGTATGTATGCAGCACAAAGTTGAACCAAAGCAGCAACAACAACAACAGCTGCGGAGAGCGCTGCCGACAGAGCTGCAGGCAGCGCATGAGCAGCGATTTTACTTATGGCTATAACTATCTTCAGAATTGACCTATCATGATGAAATTTGGCATACGGACACATTAGTACTAACTGGATGTACCTACCAAAATTGATTTCAAAATTCCGAGAATTACGGAAGTTATAAGAAAAAACACGAATTGCGGGGGAGTGGGGGGGTGCATCGAAAAAAAACTCAAACTCAAACATACATATATACTTTGTAGGGTCTGCCACGCCTCCTTCTGTGTGTTACATACATGTGCACAAAACTAGTATAGCCTTTCACCCTTTGGGTACAGGCTATAAAAATATTAGGTTTAGTGGTCATGTTCGTTTAACGAAATAGTTTGGCAAGAACAAAAATGTAACGGACTACTGAACAATTTTTTGTCAAGAACAGAAAATGTTCATTTAAATACATTAAATGCCTTCCTACTGGTAACTTATAAGGTGAAAACATATGGGTAGGTTATGCACACACAAAATAAATACAATTGGAAACATTATATTGAGCCGGGTTAAGGCGGGCAATACCTGCTAGTATCTTACATTTAATTAAATTAATTAATTAAATATTTTGTGTGGGGTGGTACAGGGTATATAAGAGTTGAGCCTGCTCGACTTTAGCATTGCTTTCTTGTTTTATTATTCTTTAATGAGTCAGAGTTTCTTTTTAAACGATAAAAATAAAATGTGGCAGCAAAATAAATTGATTTTGAGAAGCTCTGACCCGCGATAGGCCAACATACAGTTGGCCATGAGTGAAACATTCCTTTCGTTGGTCGATCCCTACTAATTCGAAGGTTTGGCGTTGGGAGTTGTTAATAGTCAAAGCGAAAGATTCGGTGATAATGGTCACTACAATTAAATTGTCCTTTAATTCCTTAATAAGAAACCTCGTCCTATTGCACATACTCGGAGGGCTTAAATTTTTCAAAAGCATGATTGGAATTCCGAAATGTCCGCTCAAGACAAATAGTAATAAGTATTAATGAAACTAACACCAAAAGTGAAGAGAAAGAAAATAAAACTCACAAGGCAATCAGAGAAAACAAAACATTTGTGGCTTGCACTATTTGAATCAAAGCAGGTAATATCAAACAAGTATAAGAAAAACAAGTAAAAAAGCTGAAGTCGGGCGGCCCGACTTTGAAATACTCTGTACATATGTTTAGAATAATTATATAAATTAAAAAAAAATTTTTGATTGATTTTACCTCTCGGTATTCGAACTCACGTAAAGGGTGTATAATTGCACATTTACAAAGCAATTGCGTCTATGGGAGTGTATGAATGTCTATATGTCTATGAATAAGCAACAATAACAACAGCTGCGGGCAACGCAAAAAGCAGACCTGCCTAGGGCTTATGGGCACCTGGATACCAGGGTTGGTAAATCTAGCTCTTGTACTTTCTGAGATCCTTGCGCTCATATAGACGGACGGACATGGCTTTATCAACTTGGCTTGCCACCCTGATCAAGAATATATACACATTATAGCAGATGTTGTTCATACATACTTAGATACAAACATGATAGACACAATCCCGATGTAAATGTGCAGTCCTAACATGAGTTTAATTCCCGAAAGAGGTATTATGAATCAAAAATTGAAAACTTCATATAAGGTTAGTTAAGCACTAACTGGATGTTATTGTTGAATTTCAGTACAAAATTACAAGAATTACGGAAGTTATGGAAAATCAAAAGTTGTTGTTCTAAATCGTATAAGTATATTAAAATTTTGAAAACACCCAAGCAAAGAATATGACTTGTTTTTACATATACAAATACTAGAAGAAGTAACTTAATAATTATCGATGATATGAATCGAAAACACTTTAAGCTTAAACTAAGAATACAGTGAGTGGGTGTGGGCATATAAATAGCGAAAGGTAAACATAGGCTGAAATTTGGAGGCAAGTGGCCGCGGTTAGAGCGTTTTGTAAAAATGTATAAAAATTGTCTGCTGATGCTTGGTAACTGAGTTATAAATTGGCATCTAAATAGTTTCGACCTCCCAGACTTTGGTATTGCAATCCTGACCAGTAGAGATCACAGTATTATTGTCTAACCAGACCAGTCGTGTTATTTGGGATTGTGGATGGGCGTCTGAAAACGAAACCGCTTAGTATTGAATACATGTAAAAATATTTATATTGTGACATACTTTTTATGATGGTGTGTTTGGCTGGATTGGCTACAGACCAGATAATAATAGTGGTATCCAATGAACCGCTGGCCACAAGCAGCGAATTGGGTGACCAGGCAACAGTGTTAACACGTGCATTGTGAAAACCCCATTCCTTGTTATGGGCGGGCTGTAAAAAGGCGCAGTTATTTTTTGTACGATGAGCAATTGAAAAACTAGCAAATACCAACCTTGTAATCTTCGACAGAGTAAAGCACGACTTTTCGATGCGCATCGCAGGCAACTAAGTATTTCTGATCCGGCGAATAGGCCACATCGGTCACGGCACCCAAGTGATCCAGATCTGTATTTGGTTCCAACGTATTGCCATTTAACTTATAAATGTGCACTTTTTGATCATCACCACCAACTGCAACCTCTAAAGTTTCAACATTGGCCGATATTGAACTTGCCTCGAATTTAATAGGCAAGGAAAATATCTTCTTTTGGTCCTGCACCAAAGTCAGCTCCTTGATGCATGCAAGGGCAATGATATTCTCTGTGCGTAAGATAGCCAAGCCACGTGGCTGACAGTTTAACTTCACTACGTAGTCTGTGTAGCTATTGCCTTCCACACTGAACTGCCGCAAACTATCATCGATACCACAGGTGTAGACGAAATCACCCCACGCCGCAATTCCGTTGATCTGATTACCGTGGCCGGAGCCCGTGATGCGATCGTTGACTCCATTGCCCGAGTTCCAATTTGTCACAACGCCATCGTGACTACCCGTGTAGATTGTGCTACGATCATCGCTTAAGCCCAGAACAGTAATAGGTTTGTTATGGCCCTTGATAATGCGTAACGGCTTATTGGGATCGTCCAAATTCAAATAATTTATAATGCCTGACAACGACACAGTGAGTAAATTGTCTCCCTGCCACAGGCAAGAAACTTGTTGATCATCGACGGTGGTACCCATGACGAACTCAGTAATCAGCTCTCGCGATTGCACCTGCCACAAGCGACAGGTTTTATCGCCGGAGCATGTAAGTAGTTGTGTGCTGTCTGCTTTCCAGGCCAATGCATAAACACCACCCTTATGAGCAGGTGAGCCGAATTCGCCAACTAACTCTGAGCTGACGCCGTCGTATAAAAATACCTTGCCGTCAAAGCCTGCCGACGCAAAATATTTCCCATCGGGCGAATAGCGCACAGCCTGCACAAATCGCGAATGATCTTGCTTGGTCATTTTAAACTTAAATGGAGGACCTTCAAAGACAGCGATAGTATTGTCTTCGCTGCCTGTGTTGAAATGTGGGAAAAGGTAAGAAATTGACGAAATTCGTATCACATTAATCACCTGTCACAATACGAAAAGGCCTGGCTGGTCTAAAGTCTGCCGAATTGATAGACTTCGACTGACCACTTATCTCGCCTACTGATGTGCCTGTCTCAGACATAAAGACATGGCCAAATCGTTCTCGTCCCTCACCTACAGCAACAATGCGCTGGTTATCGGGCGACCAGCTGATGTCCTTAATGGGGCCAGCAATAGGCTGGAACTCATTTTTCAGCAAATGCTCCTTGTTTACGGTATCCCAAATACGTATTTTTCCGGACACATCTGTAAATAAGAGCGTAGGATAATCACACACGTTCGAACCGATGACGAAGAGATTAAGAGAAATTCAAATATGTTAATTTGGTTCGGCTTTTCTACATGAGTCATGCATATAAATGTAGCTTCACGCTAGAAAACGCTCACACTTTCAAACTCAATAACAAGGTTGTGGAGAAACGCAACTAATGGCTAACTAGTGTAAAATTACAGAAAGCAGCGCACTTACCACCAGATGCAATGTAGAAACCGCTCGGAGAGTACTTGGCTACATTGACTGCACATGAGTGTTCCGTGTAGACATCGGCGATGGATGGATTCTACGTCAGCAACCATAATATAATGGCAGCAGCAAGCATAATGTGAATTAGAAAGCATATAAATGTATTAAAAGCTTTTTACCTTTTTCTATATATGTGCATACATAGTATACATATATATATTTTTATATTTCTACATTTTTATTTTTTTCTATAGAACGCTGTTTGTGATTATGATTGCAGTCAGCGTGCCGGTTGTTATTATGTGTGTGTGTGGGAGTGTTGGTACAAACAATTTGATTCTATAAACTTAAAGCCTGCAAAACAGCAGCCGGCTGTGGCACGATATTTATCATATATGCATATTTGTATACATACATATGTATCTACATAAAAATATAGATACATATTTATAAAAATAAATATAGAATTTGGCTAACAGACACACAAGCAGACACCCCACCGCACACTAACGCTTTCTCTGTGTGTCATCATCCAGTGGAAAATAACACAACGCTTGCAATACAGCTGCTGCGTCCAAAAATAAAATATTTGGAGCAAGCCATTCTATGCTGCAAAATGTAGAAACAGGCGCGTATCAATTTTCGTATTTACCTCAATATTTCTAATTATCACTGAGTTTCCATTGGTATAAAGGAAGTTCTTGCCCTTAGGATCGGCACCCAGAACAATGGGCTGGCCCCGTTGAGTGCGCGGTAATGTTGCATAGGTATTTTCTGTAAAAATTGAATAAATTTTGAGCGAAAACCTTATCAGTAAAATATGAATTAGATAGCGATATCAATCAACTGTAGTTCATTATAATGTACGTAGGCGAATGAAAACAGGGTGCGGTCGCCGGTGAATTCGGACTGAAAACCACAGCAGGCGCCGTTTTTTATATACATTGTATGTATATATCTTCGACTATCCGCTTTATTTCCATTTATGGTCATGCTGTTGTTTCCGGAGTTCGCCTTAGTGTTCTTATGTTGGTGTCAACGTGTTGACTCACACATTTACAGAAAATGATTCAGCACTGTTCTTTTATTGAAAGTAAATTAAGCTTGTATAGTTGCAAAGAACTTACTGTTCTGGTAGCCCGGTTGTTGAGGTTGCGCCATTTCCCACACTGTCACTTTTATTATTTAGTCTTTCAAAAAATCCCTCCTTTTATTAAACGCACGGACCGCCACCTAAACCACCAAACAAACTTTTGGCAATCGCACTGTTAGTAAAAGAGCTGGCATTTTATCGAAAGTAAAATATCGATGACATGTAAGATTGCTTCGATGAGAGGTGGAACCGTGACTGAAACGATATATGTACATATATATATGTATATATATACAAAATACGATTGTATATACAATATATTGCCAAAATCGAGCCAGCATCAACTAAATAAGGTTAATAATCAATGATAAGCTGTTTCGAAAATATTGCTTGAAAGTTGCATTCAAAATACATTGCAACATATTTTGTACGTATTGCTCACCCTTAGTGGCAGCGTTGCCACATGGTTTAAAATTGAACACTGTTTATTTTATTTCTTCAGGAAATGCAGCATCGCATGCAATCGCAAATGAAAGTGGAAAACCCACGCTATGGCCAACTTGTTATTGGTCCACCAGGATCGGGGAAATCTACCTATTGCCACGAAGCATACAAGTTCTATGAAAATTTGGGCCGTCAAGTTGGTGTTGTTAATTTGGATCCGGCTAACGACAACATGCCTTACTCGCCTGTCGTCAACATCATGGAGCTTATAACAGTAGAGGACTGCATGGAGCACATAAAATTGGGTCCAAATGGCGCACTAATGCATTGCGCTGAGTATTTAGAGCAACACATCGACAAGTGGCTGTTGCCGGCACTTTCTAAGCTGGGAAACAAATATAATTACTTTCTATTTGACTGTCCCGGTCAGATTGAGCTGTACACCCATCATAATGCAATGGCTCACGTTTTTGAGCGGCTGGAGAGCGAACGATATAGCCTGGTCACTGTGAATCTTATTGATTCGCATTACTGTTCTGAGCCATCCAAGTTTATAGCCACTCTGCTGATGGCACTAAACACGATGCTGCGCATGAGCCTGCCTCATGTAAATGTGCTTTCTAAGGCCGATCTGTTGCGCAAGCACGAGTCCATGTTACATTTTAACATGGACTTCTACACTGATGTGCTGGACTTAAAATATCTGCTAGAGAAGTTGGATGAAGATCCGGCAATACACAAATATCAAAAACTCAACGAAGCGATTTGCTCTATGGTAGAAGATTACGCACTGGTTTCTTTCCAGTTGCTTGATGTTTTCAATACAGATAGCATGTTGCGCCTTCATAGCCATCTTGACAAGGCCAACGGTTATGTATATAAGGCGGGCGAGGAGCGCACTGTCAACTCACTGATGACCTGTGCTGTCGGCGCGGAAACAGAGGCGGTGCGGCAACAATCTGACATAGAGCCCTATGTACGGCATAAATAGATACTCGTCTTGGTTTAAGAAATGTAATTTCTATGTTTATGATTTATCTAATATGTTTTGTTAATTATGCAGTATAATTAAGATAAGAAAAAAATTTCACTATAAATAACTAATAGTTGAATATTAATTGTGATGCTGTTGGAGTTGGTTAATTGATTAAAAACTGCTATACATACATATGTACATATATACTAGCTGGTCTTGTTCGTCTTTGCTGGTCTAAGTACTTGTATTTATACTCTGCCCATAAAATGAATAGAGTATATAAGGTTTGTGGGAGGTCAAAAATGTAACTGGCAGAAGAAGGCGTGGCCGAACCCACAAAGTATATATGTACATATCTTTTTGATCAGCATTACAACTCGATCTAGCCCTGTGTGTCTGTGCGTAAGAACACCTGGAGATTATAAGAGCTGGAGACAAGTTTGTTATACTCTGTACATGAAATGTACAGAAGTATATTAGGTTTGCGGGAGCTGAAAAATGTAACAGGCAGAAGGAGGCGTGGCAGACCCCACAAAGTATATATATTCTTGATCAGCGTGACAAGACGAGTCGATCTAGCCCTGTCTGTCCGTCCGTATGAACACCTGGATCTCAGAGACTATAAGAGATAGAGACACCAAATTTTGCACAAAGATGCGTTATGTGTGTATTCTATACGAGTATGTTTTATTTTTTTTGATTTTCCCCCTCACTTCCCCCCTATGGGGGTTTTCCCGATTTTCCATTCGTATAATCGCTTATATCTCGGAGACTATAAGACCTATGCACACCAAATTTTAGTCCAAGATGCCTTGTGTGAATACGCAGAAAATGTATATTTTGGAATTTCCCTCCCACCCCCCTCTCCCCCGCAAATGCGATATGTGTCCGTATGCCAAGTTTGACTATGATAGACCGATTTACCAAGAAGTTATAGCCATAAATATATTTGCTGCTGCAGCGCTGCTCAAGCGCTGCCCGCGGCTGTTGTTGATGTTGCTGTTTGGTTGACTGCGAAAATGCTTACACAGACACGAATTGATGCGCATAGGCATACATACACTCACACAGACGCAATTGCTTTGTATATGAGCAATTATATACCCTTTACGTGAGTTCGAATACCGAGAAAGGTAAAATCGATCATTGAATTTTTTTTTATTTTCTTAATTTTTTTTATTTTCTATAACTATTGTAAACATATGTACAGAGTATTTCAAAGTCGGGACACCCGACTTTAGCTTTTTTACTTGTTTTTTTTTTTGATTTTCCCCCCACTTCCCCGATAATTGGGATTTTCCGTAACGCCGTTCGTATAATCGTCTACATCTATCTCGGAGACTACAAATTTTAGTTGAAGATGAACTATATGAATACGCAGAAAATGTGTATTTCAGAATTTTCGTCCCTCTCCCACGCAATTTGTGATTTATAACTCCCGTAATTCTTTGAACTTCTATTAGTGACTATGTGTCTGTATGTCATGTAATATTTACACAAACGATGTTATTGCTGCTTTGATTCAACTTCCCAGCGGTTCGGATAGAAATAATTGACACCTTTTAACTAGTATATCTGCTGCTTGCTGCTTTTAAATTTGATTTGGTCATTATAGATTCCACTGCGACTGGAGGCTCGGAAGACGAACTGCGCAAAGCAAACAAAAACAGAGTTTTTAACCATAAGCATAATAATAATAATATTATATTAACATCTCTATATATACATATGTATAAAAGAGTTTGTCCTGACTGACAGATTGATTGGTGATCAACGCACAGCCCAAACGGTAAGAGCTAGAAAGCTGAAATTTGGACTCAAGTATCCTTTCATAGCGTAGGCTGATTTGGTAAATTCGTGCTCCAAACGTTTGTATAGAAAATCTACAATTTTCTGATTCTGATTAAGTTTAAACTAAGTTTGTATACTCTCAGAAAAATTCCAAGAAAACAGCCCACAGCCCAAACGGAAAGAGCTATGAAGCAGAAATTTGTGCTCAAGTATCCTACCAGAGTGTAGATGCGCACTAAGAAGAGATTTTCGGAAAAATCCCTTTTCCAAAGGGGGGAAAACTAATTCCAAAGTTGGTTTGAAAAATCTTTATTTAGATTTTGTGATCTATAAAAGAATACAAATAAAACTGCCGTCAAGTTTTTCTATGATACTATTAATTCTCTTTCTCACTGGTTTTCCAAGACTTTCAAACTTAAACAAGAAAGGAATGCTAAAGTCGAGCAGGCTCAACTCTTATATACCCTTATTATGTATATATATATATATATATATATATATATATATATATATATATATATATATATATATATATATATATATATATATATATATATATATATATATATATATATATCTATATATATATATATATATATATATATATATATACATAATAAGGGTATATAAGAGTTGAGCCTGCTCGACTTTAGCATTCCTTTCTTGTTTAAGTTTGAAAGTCTTGGAAAACCAGTGAGAAAGAGAATTAATAGTATCATAGAAAAACTTGACGGCAGTTTTATTTGTATTCTTTTATAGATCACAAAATCTAAATAAAGATTTTTCAAACCAACTTTGGAATTAGTTTTCCCCCCTTTGGAAAAGGGATTTTTCCGAAAATCTCTTCTTAGTGATACCCTTTGGTGGTATATAAGAGTATATATATATATATATATATATATATATATATATATATATATATATATATATATATATATATATATACTCTTATATACCACCCAACAAAAAAGAAATTAAATTAATTAAATTAATTCATTAATTTAATTAATTAATTAATTTAATTAACTAAATTATTTAATTAATTAACTAAATTAAATATAAAATATTCCATACATGCATACATACATTTACATCAGAATCGTATCTATGCGTGTTTGTGTACTTGTACATATGTATGTATGTGTGCATTGGGACTGGTTATGTGGCTATAACTTTCTTTCCGATCATTCTATTATAATGAAACTTGGTATACGGGTATATAATTACTAACCTCATGTGACTAGTTCAAAATTCCAAGAATTACGGGAGTTATAGAAAATCGTTAATAGGGGGGGAGTGGGGGGGTGTATCAGAAAAAATAAACAAACTCGATCTGCCTAGGGCTTATAGGAACCATGATACCAATTTTGGTTATCCTAGCTCTTGTACTTACTGAGATCCTTGCGCTCATACAGACAGACGGACAGACAGACAGACGGACATGGCTATATCGACTCGTCTTGTCATCCTGATCAAAAATATATATACTTTGTGGGGTCTGCCACGCCTCCTTCTGCCTGTTACATACATTCGCACAAAACTAGTATACCCTCTCACCCTTTGGGTACAGGGCATAAAAATGTTACATCTAGATGCTTTAAAAAGTATAAGCAGCCGGGCCTATCTCTTGACTTCTATAAATACTCTATAGCGAAATCGAATTTAGTTCACCTTAATTCACTATGTTACAATAATTACCTTGCCCGATGCAAGATGCAATTTGCACAGGACCCTAAACAATTCTATAAGTTCGTTAATTCTAAACGTAAAACTGTTTCTCTACCTTCATAATTTTTCCTTGGGGACAAAAAAGCCAGCAACGATTCTGAAGCTGCTGACTTGTTTGCCAACTTCTTCCAGTCAACTTATTCCTATGTCTCTATCAGTAGTTTCTCTTATCCTTATAGCATTTCATCTTCCCACACTATTTACGCTCCCATAATTACTGATAGCTGTCTACTTTCTGCTATAAAATCTTTAAAATCTTCATACTGTCCTGGAGCAGACAACATTCCTAGTTGTGTTCTCAAGGAGTGTTCTAGGTCCCTTTTACAGCGATTACTTAAAATCTTTAATCTGTCACTTGGCACCTCAATCTTTCCAACTATTTGGAGAGAATCTTTTATTATTCCTCTTTATAAAAAGGGTGGTAAGTCTGATATTTCAAACTACAGAGGAATTGCAAAGTTGTCTGCCATACCGAAATTACTTGAAAAAATAGTTTGCAGCACCTCTGTAAATCGGTCATATCTCCGGCTCAACATGGTTTCATAAATTGACGGTCTACTCGATCAATTTGCTGGAATTTACTTCCTTGGTAAATGAAGCATTTATTCTAAAAATGCAGACTGATGTCGTTTACACTGACTTCAGTAAAGCATTTGACTATGTGAACCATGATCTTCTGCTCTTTAAGCTATGTTGTATAGGATTTCCCTCCGCTTTTTTGTGTTAGATTTCGTCTTATCTAAAAGACAGGTCCTAACGGATCTTGCTTATGTCGCACATTTCTAAGCCTGTGTTTGCATCATCAGGTGTGCCTCAAGCCATCTTGGCCCCTTACTTTTTACATTATTTATTAATGACCTCCCATCTACCTTGTCACACTCTCATATTCTTATGTATGCTGATGATGTGAAACTTATTCTGACTTACAAATACCCTTCTCATTTTCAGAATGATCTGAACTGCATGCAACCTTGGTACTTAGCAAACCACCTCAATTGCTCTAAATGTAAGTTCATGACCTTTTATCGAGCTTTGCTTCTTTTACGATTTAATGTGTCATTGCCGCGTATATTGACTATTAAAGACCTTGTGATTCTTTTTGACTCAAAATTGAACTTTACTCTTCACATCTCTGGCGTTGTAAAGAAGCCAATGGTGTACTTGGGTTCATAAAACGATGGTCCAAGGAATTTACAGACCCTTATACTACAAAACTTCTTTACACTTCTCTAGTGCGCCCGGTGCTTGAGTACGCTCTTGTGTCTGGTGTCCACAGTATAGAAAGTTTCAGGAGCGTATTGAATCTGTACAGAAGCAATTCTTGCTTTTTGCTTTACGTGGTCTTAGTTGGGATCCTAATCTTCGCTTGCCATCGTATTTAAGCAGATTGTTGCTTATAAATCTTTCTTCATTAACAAGTCACAGGACTGTTCTTGGAGTAGTTTTTCTCAATATGCTAGTTGTCGGTGAGGTAGACTCCCCAGCCCTTTTAGGTCGCCTAAACTTTTAGTTCCTTGTACACCAACAAGAAATTATTTGCCATTCATTTTGTCCAGATGCACAACTGATTACGCTTTGCACAATCGTTTTCGGCTTATTTGTTCTAATTACAATGATCTTTCTCATTTGCTTTCGACAGAACTTTCTCTTTGACAGAACTTTCTCTCTCTTCGGTTTCCATTTGACTTTA